TGACCGGACACGTCCGGTCAGGACGTGATCAGCGTCCGGTCAGTACCAAAAAGCTGGATTTCGTCCCCAACGGCTAATTTCTCGGTGGGGCTTATAAATAGACCCCCAACTGACCATTTAAGCATAGTGGAGCTGAGAAAACATACCAACGGTGTTGATACACCATTTTAGTGATCTCTAGTTGTATAGTGCTTAGTGATTTATTAGGTGATTAGCGTAGGTGATTTGCGAAGTGCTTAGGTTGATTAGACCACCGCTTATGCGCTTGCTCTAGGTTTAGGCCTAGTGTTTAGTGATGTTTGCATACCTCTTATTACTCGGTGCTTGCGCACACTATTGTTGTACATCGGAGGGGCTTGTAGTCTTGCGAGATCACACCAGCCGCGTTTGTGGTGTGGCCGCCACCGTGTATCGGAGGGAACAAGGCCTGCGGCGTTTCAGCTGGAAGCTTGATAGTAAAGACAGCGGGGAGCGGTCCGGGAGAGGCTTGCCGGAAGGCACACTGGAGACCCACTTGCGCATGGGGAAGGCCCAGGCTATCCACGGAGTTATCTGACCAGGAGCTTGACCCTTGCGTTGGATTCCATGCGAGGGGCTCCAACGAAGACTAAGGGAATGCTTACGCGCTTCTCGATACCTCGGTAAAAATACCGGAGTCGTCGATGGGAGTTTGCATATCTCTACCTTATTCTTTAGCTTCCGTATTTATATTGTTTGCATAACTCCTTTTGCGGTAGAGATAGTAACACACTGGTAAAACCGTAGTTGCACATTTAGATAGTTTATCTTTTGCATAGGTTTTGCTAAGAATAGAAAAAAAGGCCATAATTTAGAGTTAAATTTTTGTTGCATAATGCACCCGTCCCTCTTAGACGGCACACGGTCCCTTTTACAGGAAAACCCCATCGCTGCCATCCTCGTCCCTGCGCGGGTATCCGGTAACTGGTCTGGCGGTGGCGATATGCTAGGGAGGTTGAGGGAGCCGTGGCGTTGGGTGAGTTTCGGTACACCAACGTCGTACTTGACAGTGACGACGCTGGTGTTGGGCTGCACACTTATTTTGCAAGAAGGCCATTCTTTTCACAAATATTCATCATTCTAGCCAACATATCACACAAAATATGAAGCACTAAAGGGATAAACTATTCCTTGTTAAGCATATCACAATCGTTGATGGCTCGTATTCTCATTGGTCCGGCGCATTTTGCTAGAGGATGGTATTGGGTGCTGTGGCTATGTTGATGAAGGGCACTGAGTTAAGGTTGCTTTTGAAATGCGAGAATGACAAGTAAACTGAGAAAAGGTCGAATTTTAGAGTGACAAAATATTATTGATGAACGAAGGATGGAGTACCATAATAAGTTCATAACTGGCCAAATTTCAAAAGCGTAGTTATTTTATAACTAATTTTGTCTGGTTTAAAGCTCCCACATGGAGCAAGTACTGTTACTGGTTCCAAAGTACGACTGAAAGCTGGACAAATAAAGTGGGAAAGAGCAAATTGAGCAAAGAACAAATAAAGCTGCCACTTTTGCACCTAACACACACATGCATCTATCTACCATGCATAGATATGGAAAACCAAAAGAGAGCCCTTTATTTGTGTGAGAGAGACCGGCCGTATCTTGTTCATTTTGACAACATAAACCACCAGCAACAATGATTATATTTATTTATGGTCGATCTAGCCATGCCATGCAAGCAACCATCAGATTTCATGCCAACAATATATATATATATTAGTACGTGTGGGTACACCTTGTTGGCCCGTTGGGGGTCAGGAAAAGAGATGGATCATGGTAGATGAACGATGTTTTTAGTTTTAGAGATGGATGGATCATGGATGAAGCTAGAGCTAGCAAAGTTGCACAGATAAAAGCAACAAAAGGCAAAAGGTTGAAGAGTGCTACAGGGTGGTAGAGAGAGAGAGAGAGAGAGAGATGTAGTACTACGTACAACACTGGGAGAGGGGACCCACCTCGTCGCTGACAAAGGAAATCAATTCGTCACCAATGTCATGGCATGGAATGGCTTGGGATTGGCGCTATTTGATGGGACTTGTCATCAGAACCGACCTGACCTGGACATGCCCAGCCCTGCATACCCTGCTGCCCGACTACCCAGGGATGCATCATCCATGCGCATACAGTAATAATTATCAGATCCTTTTCTAAAAGCAAAAAAGATATCCATCTCGATCGGCAGGCAAATATATGTACGACGTTGCAAGCAGTCCGAATTTCTATCGACATGTACTGAGATGTGTACAGCTGTGGTAACATAAAAAAATGAAAGAGGCGGCAGCACAGTGCGTGCTTGACAAAATAATGTCACGACCCTGTTGCTCACGGCCGGCCTTTATTATTAGTTTTGGAACAAAGCGCTCTGGTGCAGGATACGTGTACATACAACATACTGGCATATATGGCTGCAACAACCGATACAAAGCACCCCGGCCGGCCATTGGTGGAACTGCTGGCAGCTACTACTAGCTGGTACAGTACCGGCCGGTATAATACTCCAGTAGGCATGCGGGTCTGGGTCTGGGTCAGGCTCTGGCTCTGGCTCTGCACCGCACGTACACACGCGCACGTGGTAGCCCATGGTGTGGTCGACACGTGCAACATCGGACGCCGACATCTCGCACTGTCGCTCGTGTCAGAAAAGAGAAGCGCCTCGCACTGCCTCGCTTCGCTGATCAAAATTTTTAGATGTCCATAGCAAAATTTTTTGGCATGTCGAATCTTTGCATGCAATCTGCATGTCATGATCTTAAATGTGAGCGAAAAAAAACCAATTATACTGTTGCTTGAGAAATCGTGGAGAGATTTAATCTTTTAAGCCCAAATAGTCCATATAATGGGACAATTTTTGCCAAATCTGAACAAAAATGCTACGATGAAGCAAAAGTCAAAAAATTTGAAACTAAACACGCCTTATTGTAAAATAAAAACACAATTCGTTGACCGAAAAATATAGTTTATATATATGATTTGACGGCTGATCTGACACGGTCCATTTAGTCGCATACGGAGTATGCATGTGCGGCCTCATCATGCCTTTGCCCTACCTGTCGTCGTCGTCGTCGCTCGTTGTACTACCCCCGTGCTCCACCGGCGATAGATGTCGCACCTTGCTCGTGGATGCCTGTTTCGATAACCCCATTCTATACTTTAGTCATCTCGGGCCTGTTGTGACACCGCCAAAGAACTCTAGCAGAGAAAAAGGCCACCACAACCTTGGCTAAAATTAGCGCACAAGTGAACTAGAAAGGATGCCACGGCTCGCATGTAATCCAAACACCAGCCAAGGTACCGTGGCGGCCTCAAGTTAGGTGTGGCAGAGTGTTGGCGCCCTGGCGGCGAACCAAACAGCCCCTAGACTTTAGGCCAAAACTAAACATCAAACATGTGAACTTAACTTTAGCTCCCAACCCAACTAGCCATTAGTCAATTGCTTGAGCTAAAAAGGTGACTATAAGTCTATAACTAGGAATTTTGTTATGCTTAGTTCACTTTTTAGTCCATACATGCAAACACTATGAACTAAACTTTAGTCACCTATATTTTAGTTAACCTAAAATTTAGTTCAACTAAACTTTAGTTTGAGATGATCCAAACAGGCGCTTTAAGCTAGGTCAGTGGGCAACAAAGATGTGTATCGTGTGTCGCTGTGCATATATACCCCATTTTTTTTTATTTTTAGCTCTTTTGAAAAAAAATTCACAAATAAGCTCCACGGAGGTAAGATTTTAAAATCGGACCCTTAGCTCAAGCGCCATCGTGCATTGGCGCCCGGAGGTCTTGGGCTCGACGCAGACGCGTGATTATGACTTCAAGGGTGTAGCTCGGCGCCGTAGATCTTGGCCTTGCAGAGCTTGGCGTCATGATCTATGGCGCCGAGGTGGTGTTTAACCACAGCCCCAACCTTCGCGCCTTGAGCCTTCTTCCTTCTTCTTTCTCCCTCTCGGGTTTTTCTCCCCTACTTCGCCCTACCTCACGAATCGGCATATTGTACCTTGAAACTTTGATTTGATCCCAGAGATCTTCGAAAGCAAGGTATCCTCGCCCCCTCCTAGTTTTTTCGCGATCGATTCGGTATATATTAAGTTAGATTTTTCAACCAAGAATCCTCATTACTTAGGGTTTCATGTAATTTTAATATTTGTATTATACAACCATTGGATGATGCCAAGGCGTGGAAAAGCTAGGAAACCTAGGGTAAACCACAGCCGCATGTCTTTGTTATGTTATGGGTTCATTGTTGTGCATCAAATAGAAAACCCTAGGTTTATGGTTTAATGTTAATTACTGGTTCTTAGAACGAAAATTGGTTGTATTGGTAGTTATGGTTCTCATTGATATTAATTTGTGATGTTTTAATTTTGTTTGTTAGAAATACAAACTGCTTTTGTTAGATGCAAGAAATGTATCGGGAGTGAGTTTTGGCAAAAAACAGGTCGCCCTCGAGAATTATACTGCAGCCGCGTCTAGCAAAGATGCCCCATTCCCTCCTCGACCTCCCTCGTCCCTAACTTTGGATCGTGCGGTTTCCCTACCGACGTGTTTCAACTCGAGATATCTCAGACACAGATGCGTTGCTTCTGTACACATGCAAAGCGTTTAATGTAAGTAATTGTTTCCACTATCTTTTTTTCTTCATTTGTATACAGTAGGATATTAATATTTTGTTGGAATCTTGTTGTGTAGGGACCATGAGAGGGTGCCCTTTTCTTTTTAGTAGATCTTACAGTACTACAATTCAAGCTAACTAAGTACCTACTGTATATTTCAAAATTCTGCCCGCCCAAGTCAATGCAACGA